GAGAGTCCAGTTTGATCACAGGCTCCATCAGTCCCAGTCCAGCTGGCCTTCTGAGAGCATTTTTGTAAGCCAACATGTTCTGTAGTAGTTTGTTATATAGTAAAGGGTAAAAAGAAGAGTGTTGTGAACTCTGGTCATGTGCTTAAGATAGTGTTTGCAATGGTTCCTCTTTGCTTAATTTTTTTCATTGCTTAATTCTTATTTTCTCCTTTATTTGGGAAAGTGTTGTGGTATACACCTTAGGGACTTATTGTTCTTCCCCTAATTTTCTTTTAATACTACATACTCAGCCAAATGCTGGTGATATCCTCTCTGATCAAAAGCTTCAATCTTTTAGTCTTTATCTTATTTGGGCCATTACAAACAGGACCCCTCGGGAACACAACTCAAACAAGACTCATTTCTGAGCTAGAATACCACTGTATTAATTCATTACTGGGAACAGGTAGTGCCAATGAGTCTCGTTCATGTGAAACACATGGTGAGTGAAATCAGGAATCCGGAAGTTGCTAAGTAAGCACAGGATGGGGACTGGTGTTGATTAAATGTCTTTTCAGTGGAGAGCACACTGCCAGAGAACAGCCCTCAGATCCTGAGTCTTCATCCGTGCCAGTATTTCCCACACTTCAGCTACCCGAATATCACCTTCATGTTGCTTTACTATTCCCCCACATTATTATAGTACCAAGTTTTCCTCAGCTGAGTGAAGTTTTAAAAAGGATACATTAATTTAGCCACATTCTAGGCATTTATATCCCTAAAAGCATGCTTGGTGTGCTAGATATAGTTTTAAATACATAACAAATAGTAAATTTAAGCATAAAAATGACTGTCAAAATGAAAAGTATCCATGAATTGCCTAATTATTTGTTAGTGGTGTATACCACTGTCTGGTAAACATTACACTCCATAACCCAGAATGGCCTAGAACTCACTACATAGCCTAGACAACCCTTGGCCTAGAGGGACCCCCTTACTTACTCACTCATGCAGTGGAATTCTAACCATGTTTTACCACACATGGCTAGAAATTTTATCTTTTAAAACCTTGCTTGTATGGACAGCCTGACCATCAAACTCTTTATCATGTTTTGCTGACATGATTTCTGGAAGATGCTGTACTCCTTGCACTTCCCTTTTGGGATCCTGCATGGTTCTAACATGTTTGGTGCTGACACAAATGCGTTTCTAGAAAATTTTAAAGCAAGCTCAAGCTGGAGTGCCTCTCTTTACATCTATCATCTTGTATTGTACCTGACAGATATCTAGAAATTTCTTCAAAGATTCAGAAAAAGGAAAATGATAAACACACACACACACACACACACACACACACACAACCCCCAGCCCCGCCAAAAAAACCCCTGAGAACTGTGTTTTACATACATTTTATTGTTAGGCTTTGTGGGAGAATTGGGAAAAACATGGAAAGATTTTTCCTTTTAAAGAGGTTAAGAATGGACAGAGTTAGAATATGCAGTTAATGAGCGCTTTAAATACTAAGTGCCCCCGGCAAGTGCCCTCATGGATGTGAACAGGTGAACCACAAATCTAGATTTTGGCAAACAAGCCATTTCTTCCTCTTTTCTGCTTGAGGGGCTGTTTTCTTCCTACAGACCAGCTTTCTTTACAACTCTAGACGCAATCTCATCCGCGCCTTTATCTTTTTAATGGGGAGACGGGAAGGACGCAATGAGGTACAGGCCCTAGGGCAGCCTACTCCTCCAGGCCTAGCAGGCCGCAGAGCCCTGCCTCGGCCTCATCAAAGGCAGAGAACATGCAGGACCCCCTCGGTGGGGGCGGGAACCCGCGTGGTGCGGGCGCTGATTGGCTGGCGGCTCCGTCGCCTGGTGCTATTTGTTGTCGGCCCACGCACTTGACGCAGTCGGCGTCCAGGCGTCCGCACGTGCAGCCGTTTAAGCCGCGTCGGTGGCCGCGAGGAGCCCAGGAAGCCTGGAGTGGAGAGGTGAGTGAGCTGGTGGCCTTCCTCTGGTTCGGCCCTCAGCCATGGCCACCCTAGCTGGGCCCGGGGGGCTGTGGGGGTCCGGGCTGGAACCAGGGGCTCGGCATGAGGGCCTGCGTGGGCTGTGAGGCCGGCCTCTGGGGCCTTCCCCTGCCTTGCTGAGAGCTCGGAGCGGGTGTGAAGACCTGGGGCCTGCCGGGTAGGGAGGCCTGAGGAACCTTCTGCTCAGTGCCCAGGCGGCCATTTTTCAGAAGAAACGGTGTTTGAACACCCCTGGGGAAGCTCGACGCCCTATGTTGAAGAAATGAGGGCCCCCACCTTATGACATTCTCCCCTTCCGGTGTCCAAGGCCTCAGCATCCCGTGTTATCTCGGAGGGGACGCAAAGGGAAATATCTTGAATGTCCCAGACACTACCCGTCCACCTCACCTGCAGCAAGCCATTTGGGAATCCTTTGAGGGAGAACAAAGATTTTGGCCAAACCTAGGCGTTGCTGGGGACATGGGACTTCTGTGAATGATTCACCTAGCTTTGAAAGATAAAAATGCTGCCCATAAATATCATCTATAGGCAAGAAGTAAAAGCTTTTGGGGGAAGGTGGTCACATTAGTCAGATAGTTATAAGAGATGCGTAGGGAAAAAAATAATTTACATGTATTATTTTGTAGTAGTGGTGGTCAGTCCCACTGCCTTGTGCTTCGATTTACTATGTCTTATTCCTAAACCACAGCCTCATAATTGAAAATTAACAATTCTGATGTAACCATAGCTAAAAGTACATTTTTTTTTTTAAAGGAACCTGTAGCTACCATGGGAGATGAAGATTGGGAAGCGGAAATCCTCAAACCTCACGTGTCTTCCTATGTTCCTGTATTTGAAAAGGTAATAAACTTACAGTGTAGAGTCATTAAATGTTGTGGGTTTTTATTAGTTAAAAAAATCAAATTGGTGAGGAAGTTCTAACTTATTCTAGCCTGTTTAGTATTTATCGGCATGTAATCTTTCTTGACTATTTAATGGAGAAAGAGAAAGCCAGGCTAGTCTTCAAATCGGATAACATCTATATAGTAATTTGATAATGACAAACAAAAGTTTGGTAATACTGCCAGTGTCATTCAAATCTTAGTGCTTTAGAACTTACAGGTGAACACAAACTTGTACAAATGTGTTGGAAAGTCTTGAAAGATAACTTGTGTAGAAAAATTGAAAGTAATGATTTGATTGGAAAGTAAGGAGCTCAATGGGACTATATTAACTATAAAATATATTGGTTTTTTCTGAATGGCATTGGGGGTTAAAATTGTAACTCAACGCTTTGGGGTCAGTTTTGTGTGTGTGTGTGTGTGTGTGTTCACATTTATGATTTATTATTACTGGCATGTACTTTATAAGATACATCTTTATAAATAAGACACTAGGCTCTGGTGTTGCATCTTTAATCCCAGCACTCAGGAGGCAGAGGCAGGTGGGTCTCTGTGAGTTCAAAGCGAGCCTGGTCTACACAGAGAAACCCTGTCTTGAAAAACCAGAAAAAAAAAACCCACACAGAAACCTTTTGCAGAAGTTCCCTCACATCCAGCATTTCCATTCTGTATGTATGTCAGTTCATATTTTAAGTGATGTCTTTGTGAAAATACTTATTTTATACAAAAATAAAATACTCAGTGTTTTGATTTAGTTGGGATCGATATGTGGGCTTTGAATTCAAATATCCCAAGTAATAATCAGAATTTATAATATTTCTTGGCTTGAAACTTATTTTAGCACTAGTATCTTAATAAATAAATAGATATACACACACATACATATGTATGTATGTACATACACTATAGATCAGAGAGAGAGAGAGTTTTTGAGATAGGATTTCTATATGTAGGTCTTGTCTATCCTAGAACTCACTCTGTAAACCATGCTGGCCTCAGACTCACAGAGATCTGCCTGCCTCTGCCTCCCAAGTGATGGGAATTAAAGGTGAACGCCACTACTCCCCGACTTAGTGTGTTGTATTTATTATTTACTTATTTTAAATAATTTACTTTTATTTTATGTACATTGGTGTTTTGCCTGCATGTGTGTCTGTGTGAGGGTGTTGGGTCACCTAGAACTGAAGTTACAGACAATTATGAACTTCCATGTGGTTGCTGGGAATTGAACCTGGATCCTCTGGAAGAGCAGTCATGCTAACCTTCTGGCTCTTTAGATGCCTATTAACAGTACCTGTAATGCATAGCAAAGCCACTGTGAGAGCCCGCAACCCCTCTCCCCACTACCTTAAACTCCCAGACTGTTCTACTTTACAGCTTCTCTCCTCATAACTGGCAAGGCTTTCACCCCTTTTCGCTATATTCTCTCTTGTTTCCAAGAGGTAGCCATGGCAGCTTTGGACTGCCCCAAATGCCTCTGGCTATTTTCTCTCTAGCACCTGAGAGAGAGGCCACTCAGCAGTTTTATGTTTACAATAAAGCTTCTTCCCACGGGAAGTGATCAAGTTTGGTGTTTTCGCTGTGCCCTTACTTACACACACCTGGGAAGCCGAGTTAGGAGGGCTACCAGGTCATAATCAATACATGCTTTAATATGTAGATCTGTCTCAAAAAAAAAAACCCAAAGTTATTCAGAGATAAAAGCCCTCTGAAGTTCTGTTGCACATTTGGTAGAGATACAAAGTAGTAACTTTATTTGTTTATTGTTTGTTTGTTTGGTTCTGATTTTTTGAGGCAGGGTTTCTCTGTATCTTTGGGACCTGTCCTAGAACTAGCTCCTATAGACCAGGCTGGCCTCGAACTCACAGATCCTCCTGTCTCTGCCTCCTGAGTGCTGGGATTAAAGGCGTGTGCCACCACTACCTGGCCAAAGTAGTTTTATTGCATATTCTCTTATTAAAAAGCATTTTTAGGTCAGAGGTCAATGTGGAAGTTGGGTTGCAAATAACGTGAAGGAAATTAAGGATATGGCAGAGACAGCAGCTTCAGAAAAATGTTCTAAGTGAGGCAGAGAAGTGGGGCATTACCTAGAGAGGATGAGGATGGTAATTTAAGCTAATTCGAGAGCTAAAAGAATTTTCCCTTTAAAAAACTGAAAAATCAAACTTATGTAGTATTACAAAGGACGTCTGTCATTTTTACCTACTGTAGACATGTACCTATTTTATAATTTGCCTTGAAATTTGTAAGTTAAACACATATAAATCTTAAATTTCTTAGCTTGAGGCATCATGTTGTAATAACAGAGTTCAGTTATTTTAGTGCTTATTGGTTTAGACACATTGAACCAGTAAGTTTTTTTGTGTGGGTTTTTTTTTTGTTTGTTTGTTTGTTTTGCTCTGTTTGACAAATAGCACCCTGTCCATTGATTAGACTGGTTGGATAAAATTCTGATTTGGTATTTGGGCTTTAGATTATAGATTTGGGCTTTTTATTATAGCAGTTTACTAGGATATTTCAGTGACACTGTTGTGCTTTTGCTCTTAATGACAACTTTAGAAAATATCTGGATGATTGCTGAGCTACATAAAAGTTTTGAAAGTCATCTTAGTGTCTTTTGTGAGAGAAATTGTAGAAAAGTATTACCTGAGGGTAGCCATCTTGGTGCTGTTCTCTTTCCAACACTGGCAGGCACTTACTTAAAAGAACTTACTTGAAGGACGATTGTGATTTTAAAGCAGCCATTTGACTACAGTAAGACCTATAAGTGTAGGTCGCTTCATTCTTAAGTTATTCATGTTGGATGCTTATATACATGCATTTCAGAGCTATAGTCTGAAAGTTTTTTCTTATAGGAAGCTTACATAAGAAGAAATAAAGGAGTGGGTCAGTGATGAAAGGACATTATAGGTGTTAGAGGTGAGAAAAAGTTACTCAAATTGTCATCAACACAGAGAACCCTCTAGAAATACTGGAAGGTTCAAAGATTAACTTGGTATTTAGTTACTGATTTTTGTAACAAAAGTTGAATCTCCTAAGTCCATTGATTAGTATAATACTGCCACAGTAATGTACATGCCTCTGTAGCAGAATTTTTACACTAGAAACTGGAACAGTGAATATTTGAGAACATTTAATTGAAATTACTCATGAATATTCTGACTCAATTAGCTGGTGACTCACAACTTCGTTGGAATGCAGCCACAGATTGTATACCGTTTTCAGTGCATATATGAGCATTGTTTAAAATCAGTTCTTTAAGTGTA